CCCCGACACACCCCCCCAGCTCCCCACTCCTGTCAGGCAGTTGTAGGGAGCAATAAGGGCTCCCCTCAGCCTCCTCTTCTCCACGCTGAACACCTCCAGGGCCCCCAGACGCTCCCCAGCAGCCTTGGGCTCCAGACCCCTCCCCAGCTCCACTGCCCTTCTCTGGACACGCTCCAGCCCCCCCAGGTCCTTCGGGGAGGGAGGGGCCCAACCCTGACCCCAGCAGTCAAGGGGCGGCCCCCCCAGTGCCCAGCACAGGGGCACGCTCCCTGCCCTGCTCCTGCTGGCCACACCACTCCTGAGACAAAATACCACAAATTCAGCCCAGCTTTTCTACACTTGTACCCAAATTTGGCTTTTCTGGTATCACCAGAGCAATCTCAGCCTTGTCTGGAATGAACGTTGCGGTTCTCTGGGCACTGTTGGTCTTGCAAGACTCTTCTCTCCAGAAGGTCCCAGTCCCCCCCTTTCCTCCCCTGGGGGGCTCAGCTCCCCTGTGACCACCAGCCAAGCCCAGCTGCCCACATGGCACCGCCTGCAGCTGCTGTGCCTCCCTCGCCGGCGCCCCACGCATCCGCCAATCCCTCCTGGCACCTCCCATGGCTGAGTTCAGGAAACGTCAACTCCTGGTCAGGGCCGGGTCTGCTGCCGGCAGCTGTAACATCGTCCCCGTGACAGAGATCAGCTGAACAGGGCCTTTTTTCAGCAGTTTTAGAAAAAGAACGCTGCGGGGTCCCCCAGGGCATGTCCTTTTGGAAGCGACTGCTGCCCTGCCTCATCAAACCCAACGTCCCACTTCAGTACTGGAGGAGATTAGCAATGTCCCATTCACAATTCTTAAATTAATATTGGGAAAACCCAGGAAGCCGGGCACGCTGCCTTTCTTGGCAGCCGAGTGCAGCGTCCCGAAGACCCCAGGGGATTCCTCCCCGCCCGGGCCCAGCGAGGGGCTGCTCCTTTGCAGCCCGCACACAGATGGACGGAGCAGAGAGCGTGACAACAGGGCTGATAATTTAAAACAGTTTAATAAGCAGACAGGTAAGACCGCAGCGATCAGGCACAGAAATGTGCCGAGCCGCTGCCTGCTCACAGCCCGCTGCCCGTCCTTCCCCCTGCCCTCTGTCTTCCCGTGCTTGCTCCTTTATCCACACCAATCCTTCCCTTTCCCTTTTCCCCGAAGCCTCCCAGTCGGTCCCAGTTTCCCCAGCACGCGTTGCGTATTGAATTTTACACCCGCTAATCCACCTCCGTGTGCCTTGCATGGCATTTCTCCTCTCAGACCACTTCAGCGTGTGGCACCGCAGGGTCCCAACGCGTTTGCCTCGGGAGATGGAAGAGCCGCGGCCGGCCTTCCGCCACCCATCAGCTGTCAATGCGAACGCTGGGGGGCCAGAGATCCTTACGCTGCGAGAAGCCACCGCGCTCGAGGTTGTGGTTTATGGAATCCAAGACGTGGTCAACAGTCCGCAGCACCATTTTGTACGCATCACACAGCAATACGGTCGAGTAGACGGGTTTGCGTCCTTCGACATTTCGCTGGGCATCAGGGCTCTGTGCCTCGCCGTGTATGGACGCCTTGAGGTGCAGAGGGAAGCAACGCGCCCTCGTGGCTGGATTTGAGGGGGGGTGTGCAGCCACCAGTTCAAAGGACACCACAGGGGCATGAAGCACTTCTGACACCCCCCCTCGGGACCCACCCTCGCTCTGAGGCTGGGGGGGCACGGCCTCCTGCTCTGCAGGCGGACAAAATGCCCCACGTGTTCCCTTCGTGGTGTCACCTTCCGGCTCAGCAGGAGGGGCAGCAGGTTCGGGAAGGCAGCTGGTGCTGGAGGAACCCAAGCTCTTGTTGGCACCTGGCTTGTGATGCCACATCATCCGCTTGGCTCTCCGGATGATCCGCCGTATCTGGGATCTTTGCTTTGTCAGCCTGTGGAGCACGGCCCGAGCCGTCCCAGTGAGATGGCCAACTTTATCAGCTCTGCCCTGATGGCAGTTCTGTTGCGCGTCACAGTATTCATGGTCCTTAAGGGCCGAGACCCCGGCCCTGCGGTCCCTGCAGTAGTCGTGTTCTCGCAGAAGGCACAGATGCGGGGTGCAGTGCCAGAGCCGAGTCTCGCTCGTCACACAGTAACAGTGATCTTTCAAAACAGTCTCGTTCGTATCCTCAGCAGGCGGTTCCCTATCCCCCTGGCGAACCGTCACCTCTCCCAGGGGGTGCTGACCACCTGGGGTGCTCCTCTCCCTCTCCCTCTCCCCCTCCCTCGGCTCCCCACTCAGACGCTCCTGAGGATCTGCCTTTTTGTTCTGCTCTTCCGTCACCGGATGAAGCGGGAATCCTCTGCATTGGGTTAGGTTTGCCGTGACCACTAGTTTGTCCTCTACCGCTCCGTCCTTCCCCGGCCAGAAGATCGTCTGTGCCTGGTCTTGGCTTTCCACCGGCCCCACTCCTTCGCCACCCGCCTGTGATGGCAACTGGCTCCCACCCCCGAGACACTTGTTCAGCAGCCTCCTGGAGCGGAGGCGCCACTGCAGGCACCGTCCTCCTGCCAAGAGAGGGTTGGGAAGAGTTGACCTCCTTCCTGGCTGGGTCATTGTGACGGGAGAGGGGGACCGTGCCGAAGGAGCAGGGCGGATGTTGACGGCCTGCCTCTCTCCAGTGAGAAAGTGCCATTCTCCCCAGTTCAGTGGTCACCTGGGCTCCACAACCCTGACCTCCGCCTGGATAGGCAGGAGAGCCAAGCCCTGCCCGGGGATGGGAGAAGCCCTGGCAGCGATGGCTGTGTGGAGCATGGCTGGGGACAGGGCTGGAGCCCACCTCGGGCTCTTTGCTCCAGAGGCTGGTGGTGGGAGGTGGGGGGACCAGGACTCACCTTGGCAGGGGGCCTGCGCCCTCTCCTCCAGCACCTGGCACCCACCAGCACCCGGCCACCAGCTCATGTCCCCATCGTGTCCTGCAGGGAAACCAGGCGGACGTCACCTTCTTGGCGGGGGAAGCCCTTCTGCTCCGCAGCCATGGGGCCGGAGGAAGCCCTGTCTGTCGCCCACAGCCAGCAAACCAGAACCCTGCTCATGGGTGACTGGAGGCGGGGAGGGTTCTCCGTGGGACCAGCAGCAGCGACACCTCTGCAGAGCTGCAGCTTTCGTGCAAGGAGACAGGCAGCCTCCGATTCCCTGTGGCAACGCTGCTACCCTGTGTGGGGAGGGCTGTGGGGCCAGAGTGGAGCAGGGGAGACACCTCGAAACAGGCAGTGAGGAGGGGAGGGATTTGGACAAGAGGGCAAGCGGGAACCTCGGGGACACGCAGGTCACAGCTCCAGGGAAGAGGAGCTTGGGGTGGCCTTTGGGATGTGCCCCCACTCCCCGTCGTGGTAAGTAGTCCTGCAGGGGTTGTCTTGTTCCTGCTTACCTAGAGAGGGGCTGTCAGGTCCATCCCACCTCACAGGGCTCTGCGGCGTGCAGACCCATGGCGCTTCCCCACGCTCCAGACGGTACAGAATGTCAGGCTTGGGGCCTGGGTAACCTGGGGGGTGGAGCAGAGCATGTTGGTCTAACGGAAACCGGGGGAATAAATCACTAACAAGATGATAAAGGTTTTCCCTGCGGCACCCCAAGGCGCAGCCATGACCAGAAGAGCCCAAGCAGAAACAACACCGAAACATGGAAAAAAGCCAAGCAAAACATCAGAGCCGCCGCCAGGGATTAATTTAATCATGAGGACAGGGGTAGAGCCCCAATGGGAGTAGGGGAACGGACTCCCAGCTCCGCCAGCAGGCTTTCCCAGTGAGGGATTATCTGCTGCTCTGCTTAGGACCAGCTCCTGGGCTTGAGACATCCTCCCAGGTGCCCAGCTCAGAGCCTTCAGACATCTGCGCCCTTTCCTGGTGGCAGTGGGCACATCCCCTGCAGGGACCCGGCTGGTTCAGGGAACTCTGCCGCCCTCTGAGGGGTCCGCTCCCCTGCGCTGTGCCTGATGGGCACTGCTCCTGCCTCACTCCAGCTTGAGCACCCAGGGGAGGGGACAGAGTTGCCAGCCCATGGCCAGGACCCCCCAACAGGTCCCTGCCCGGCCCCAGGGCCCACGGCTCACCCACGGTTACATTTTCAGAGGAAGCCACCAGCTCAAAGAGACCCAAATCCTGCATTTTTCAAGCTCTAACTCCCCCCGGGACTGCAGGTGCTCAGCGCTGTCACCCCCACCCTGGAGCCATTGGTCAAAACACGCCGACCAGCTCCGAATCCGTCGGAACCGGAGGCAGCACGGTTCCGACGGATTCAAATACAATAGAAGCTGCCCCCGCCCGGCCCCCATCATGCCCCGCCCCCGGAACGCAAACTGCGGGTTTACCCAGGGACGTCAGGAGCGTGTAGTTGTCCAACATGACGCTGCGGTACAGCTCCTTCTGCCCCTCGGCGATGGCGTCCCACTCCGTGCGGCTCAGATAGACGGCAACGTCCTCGAAGGTCACCGGTTCCTGCCAGACAAAGATCGCAGCTGCAGTCAGGCACGGAGGCCCACAGCCGCGGGGGAGAAGGGCTTCGCGGACCTTTTCTTATCCAGGCGCCACTGCCACCCCTGGGGGAGCAACCGAAGCGTGAGATGGAGAGTGCC